TCACATCTCTGCTCACTGTTTCCATTATGCTTTTCTTATACTTTGTTCTCTTGCTTCGCGTGCTACACGGAGTGTGGCGACTTGAACTTCCGCACATTTGTGCAAAGTTCTATGTCGAAAACAGACACAGACAGTCAGAAGACTGCGTTTTTCTGCCAACAATAATCTATAATATGTACATGAAAATCTATAAATATGTGATGATTTCCTCAGTAAAGGATCTGTTGCCCGGCCCTTGTATTCTGTTGTTACACTACTACTACTACTACTACTACTACTGGTTATCGTGGTGCCCTCTAGACTTATGTCAGCTAGTTGGAGGCAGTCGGTAAGAAATTGATATAAATATAAAACTTGGGCATTTTAGTAGAGTATAATTCCATTATGGATAAGATTTTATTTTGATAAAGTGTCACTCAGTGTTGTTATACAGTAATATTAACTGATGACCACGTTTTGAGCGAAAACTATTGCCACTCATAATAATATCAAGGCACTACTCACATAACTTTTTACTTCATTTATGTACATGTGTGGAGTTGACTAGATATTTGAATATAAATTATTATAGGATAATGTACATTCAGAAATAATAATATGAGTGTTACTCATCAATTACAATCAGATGGCGGGGGGGGGGAAATAAGACGAGTGTTTTTTAAAGTCATAATATGTAACTTGTTAGAATGTTATAATGTACGTGAATTGAAATAGAATTTTGAGAATATTTATTATCCTCCTCTGATTTGACTGACTGGCGGTAATAATATCTTCCATATCCCTGGTATTTGCATTGAGTCATCCCTATTGCATTTGGAAATTACTCGAGTACTATGGCGTACCCCAAATATTCATCAACCTTATTCAACAGCTGTACAACAACGGCACATATCAAGTGATCCACAACGGAAAACTCAGCGAGGCGTTTGGAGTAAACACAGGAGTCAGACAAGGGTACTGGCTTATTATCACCAATGAGTGATATTCCTAATTGTGGTGGACTGACTGGATTATGCGTCAGACAGTGAGTGGGAAACGAGAAGACAGGGATATCCTGGATCGACCTGAAGGAAGAATCTAGAAGACCTGTATTTCGCGCGTGGATGATTTATGTTTGATGTCACTGACACACAATCGAAGACTTACAAGCGAAACCTGACAAACTAGTCGAAGAAGCAGCCGGCGAAGACAGGACTCCATGTGAACATAGACAAGACGGAGGTTATGAAAATAACCAGCCAACAACAGCAACAACATCCAGCGCCAATCGCCATCAACGGGAGGGATTTGAAAGAGGTTACTTCATTCACTTATCTTTTTTTTTTATTACACGTTAATTCCACGCTGTATTTTTGGTACAAGTATGGAATTTTCAGCGTGGATATCGGTAGCCCAAATTTTGCAGGCCGACCATAGATATCAGGTGAGCGTCGTCAGGGGATCGAACCTCGGACCATGTGCATGGTCGGCGAGAGTCCTAACCACTGTGCCACCGACGCACATTGTCTCGACTACAGACAGTCAACACGGACGAGGATGTCAAATCGAGCGAGAATCGGGAAGGCGAGAAACACACTCACTCATCAACCTGAAACCAATCTGGAAATCTTCGTCACTCAACTCAGCATCAACAACAAAATTCGGTAGGATTTTCAATACAAACAACGTCAAGTCAGTCAGCCAGTTCTTCTATACGGATGAGAAAGTTGTCAGGCGGGTGGGTCACAAAGAATATTTCCAACAGCCTGTTGCAGACGTTACCTTTATCAACCAACAACTGTCTTCGCTGGCTCTGTACTGAAGATCAGATGGTCGGGCCGAAAGAATCACCAACAAGGAATTATGGGAACAAACAAAACAAGAAGCAATCGCCCAAATATAAAAGTATGCAGGAGGTAGTGGAGATGGATCGGACACTCACTCGCTGAGGAGACCGCTGGGTGACATCGCGTACGCTTCAGGCTATTGCTCGAGTGGAACTAGGCCGAAAGGGAAGCGGCGAGTGGGACGTCAGTCCGAGGGTGACATGAAGGAGATCGTGTGAAGAGGAGTTGAAGAGGAGTATGGACTAAGATGGATGCAGTTGAAAAGTACAGCAGAAGGAAGACAGAAGTGGCCAGTGGAGATGTGAAGTTGAAGCCCTATGTTCCACTAGGAACCCAAGGGAGCAATAATAATAATAAGCATATAGCCTCCTATAGCTGCTTCCAGTTCTGCTAGATGAAGTGCAATCAGACAACGCCACACGAACTTACTTTTTTCCCTTCACGTTTCTCAGTGGAGCATAGAGCTTCAAGCTAGTGGCTTGAAGTTTATGTAGTTGTGTTTATTTCACAGGGTGGGGTTGCTAGCCTCATGCCCAACCTTTTCTCTTTACCAGCCTTATTTCTGGCTTAGCGAGGTAAAGGAGTGAGTCGGCCGGGGATTGAACCCCGGACCATGTTCACGTTCGGCGGGTGTCCTAACCGCCATGCCACCGATGCACATGCCTCACATTTGCTTTCTTTAAATTCCAAATCAAAATATGTAGACAAATAGGTGTAGCAATGGTATCACCAATATCCCCTATCGTAGCAGATATATTTATGGACAGCTGGGAAAATAGTGCTCTTAATACATTTAATCCTACTCCAAAATATGGTGGAGATATGTAGATGACACTTTCACTTACAGTGTTAAAAACAGAACATATCTGTAGTTCCTTGACACATATAAACTCAGTAATAAAGGGAATAAAATTCATATTTGAATCGGAAAATAAACAAGGAGAATCAGCTATGATGTTAGATTGTAAAATAAAACAAATAGAAGAAGGCGAACTGCACACTAGTGTTTATAAAATACCAACGCATTCTAATAGATGTTTAGACTTTAATTCATCTCATCCGTTGTCTGTAAAAGCAGGGTTAGTTAGGTATCTAACAAACCGAGCAGTAGCACTTAGTAGTACAACAAAAAGCCTAAATGATGAAATGAAACAGACTGAAGAGGCTTTGGTGTTGAATAACTATCCTGTAGAATTCATTAGGAAGATCGAAAAAGGCCAAAAGCGAAGTAAAAATAATGGTGAAACTATTAATGAGAACACAAATAAGAAAGAATATAAGTCATCCACTGTTGTACCATATAAGGAAGGGACATCTGAGGACCTGCGTAGGATTCTTAATAAAGTAAGAATTAGGGTAGCGTTCAAACCTACAAACTCACTCATGTGGGACAAGCTCTGAAGGTTAAAGGACCCTGTAGGTTGACCCAATTGAACAAAATAATATAATTTACAAAATACCCTGCAATAACTGTGAGGTCAACTACATAGGTCAAACTAGTAGGTCAGGGATAGTCAGATTATCAGAACATAAGAATTTAGCTAAGGGAAGAATGGTTGATCCTGAAAAGATAAGTAATTTAGAAAAATGCTCAGCTATTACACTTCACGCCACAACAAACAACCACACAATAGGGTGGGATAGGGTTAAAATTCTAAAAAGTAATCTATGTAGGTAGAGAGCGAGAGAAATTGATTACTGAATCCTACTTTTGGTTCATCGAATAACCTACACCCAACACATGCAACAGAAATGACTCAATGCAAATACCAGAAATATGGAGGACATTATTACCGCCAGTCATATCAGAAGAGGATAATGAATATTCTCAAAATTCTATTTCAATTCAAGCATATCACAACATTCTAACAAGTTACTTATTATGACTATAAAAACACTCGTTGTAAGATCAATTCTATTCCCATCCTTGAATGAAGTCAACCTGTCCCGGATCAGCTTAGCGTTGTTGCAACCCAATTATTCATGCCTAACGTGTCTATCCCTCCTTTTTTAATGAACTGTTTGTATGTGCTTTTACCTCGATCCGTTTAGTCAGACAGTTGAACTCATGGCCCAATCAGAGTATTTTGTGAACTGTTATTTTTGCTGACCCATGTCTAACTTTGTACTATTCTGTCGAGTTTATCTTAATTATTGATTTTCATCTGTATTTTTCTACCTGGTTAAGTAGCCAATTAAATTCTATCTTTGTGCCTATGCTGGGTCTATCTCTCTTAGACGCTCTCTGTTTTATGCCATGCCTTACTTGGGCTCATTCTTCTACTGACTGCTTACCTGAACGGTCGTGTCTGGTTCCGGCTAGTTCGCAATTTTGGCTTTAACGTTATTCCGCTCTGATAGCTGTACCTTGCTTTCTGTTAAGCGTTGTGCTTTGTACTCTTGAAACCGTTAAGGTTTGTTGTATATATAATTATTGATTTGTTTATTAATAGTACCGTAGAAACAGTGACCGGCTTCTTGTTTGTTCTGGACCGGGATAGCCTTTATCTACGCGTGACCTTATTTCAAGCGATATTGCGCTTACACTCGTCTTATTTCCCATCTAATTGTAATTGATCAATAACACTCGTGTTATTATTGTTATTTCTGAATGTACATTATCCCATGTTGGTTCTTATTCAAATGTCTAATCCTCAATTCCACTCATGTATATAAATGAAGGAAGAAAGTTGTGTGAGTGAGTAACTTGATCTGATTATGAGTGGCAATAGTTTGTGTTCGAAACATGGTCATCAGTTAATATTACTGTACAGCGCCAATGTGTGACAATTTATCAAAAATAAAATCTTATCCATAATGGATAATGGAGTCGGTAAGAAATCTTGGATCTAAATGTCGCGATTGTTGAGACTCATCAGTAAGGTGTGTGTATACACAGTTTCAGATTCGAACCCCGTCGTCACACCTAGAGACCATTGAAAACTAGCCTATTGGGGTTTACGATCGATCCACTTGTAGGACTGTAATGGAATGTAATTTATGAGGATGCCATTTTGCTCAGTAAAATGTAAGTACGCTTCTAGCTATATATGTAGCACAGTTCTTGTAGACAATCTAATATTAATTAATGCAAACAAATGTGTTTTAATAATATCCTACTCATTTTCTGTTTGTTTGTTTTTTTCTCTGTTTTTCTCTCTATACATATTTTAGCTATTAAAACGTCAGATTTTACTTTTGGTCCACATATAATCAAGTCTGATTGTGTTTTTTATCAGTCAGCGTTGAGTTTCGCCTTTGTGAATATTAGTCCATTAGTACCTGGACGTATCCTTTTTTCTGTGGATTCATGTGTATATTGTTTAAATAGTTAATTTAGTTTGCTTTATTTCTCATTTAACATGTTGAAGATTTGCACAATTTATGTTGTGCGTCGGTAGTTTAAATGGTAAAATGCTCGCCGAGCCACATAGGAGGTCAGCGTCCAATTCCTTGCCGCATGCACTTGTAAAGCTCGTCTAGCGGGGATAGATAGTAAGCCTCTAGGAAAGAGTAGGTGGGTTGGGCTAGTGAATCCAGCCCTTAAAAACAACATCATATCTGCTGGAACTTGGGCACTGTGGTAGTAAGTAATTCCAAATTAGTTTGTATATTAGATGTATCACACAGTGTGAAACAGTATTATTATTTACTGGATGACAAGGTTTCGAACAAAATTTATTACTGTTGATAATCATATCGTCAATTTTAATCACACGACTTTGGAACTTGAGTTTTATAGTTTCCTTTGTTCTCTCATATTTATCGTTGTAGAGGTAGTAGAATTTCCCAGATATCTGGGTGGACAGGTGTTGAATCATTCCTATTACACGTACTCTGTTCTCAGTTGATTCGATAAACAAAGCTTCTGTTATCAATCTCTCCCTCCATCCTGCTGTTACATTAGATTTTAAAACTGACATCTTATCCCATCCAGCCTATTGTATGGTTGTGTGTAACTGCATGTAGTGCAGTGCTATATCTGAACTATTCTCTAGATTTCTTGTCTTATTCGGGTCAACTAATCTAGATTTCGCTGCTAGGTTTTTATTTTCAGCTAGTCTGACTTCAGCTGTTCTACTATTTTGACCTATGTATTTGACCTGACAATCACTCAAGCAGGGTATTAGATAGACTAAACTGTTTTGTTTTAAAGGCTCCACAGGATTGATCCTTTAATCGACAAACCTTGTTTCTAACTGAGTTTCTGGGTAGTTTGTATGCCACTTTCATTCCTGCATTGTTAAGAATTCTTTGTAGAGTTTCCCGAAGCTCCTTCTCTGTATGGAAGTACTGCTGATGATTTAGATTCCCTGTTGCTGGTGCTATCATTATCTTGTGCTTATTTGACATGCATGTCGTCATTATTATTATTAATATTATTTCCTTACATATTTCCTGACTAATTTATCAGGTTTCTAGAGGGTAGTTCAGCTATACCACTCACTACATGCAATTACACACAACCATACAATAGGCTGGATGGGATAAGGTGACAGTTTTGAAATCCAATGTCACAGGGTGGAGGGAGAGATTGATGACAGCGGACGCTTTGTTTATCGAACCAACTGAAGAGAATACATGTAATAGGAATGATTCAACACCTATCCACCCAGATATCTGGAAAATTGTACTGTGGTTAGAGCAGGCTCCTAGCCAATTGGTAGACATTAATCTATGTCAATGTCTAGGTCACTAATATTGGCCGTGAGAAAATATGAACAAGGCTGATTCAACAACTAATCACAGCAGACTTAACGTGGGCAAATAAGATTCGCAGATATATGGCTTAACTTTCCGAGAAACCAGAAACAACCAATCAGAAGACTGTGTTTGTCTGCTTGAATAAGCTATAATAATGTACATGAAATATATATAAATACGTGCTGATTTCCATAATAAAATGATCTGTTACCTGGCCCTTGCCTTCTGTTGTTACACTACTACCCCTACAACGACAAATAGGAGAAAACAAAGAAAACTATAAAACTCAAGTTTCAAAGTCGTGTGATTACAATTGATGGGATGATTATAAACAATAAATTTTGTTCGAAATCTTATCATCCAGTAAATAATAATACTGTTTCACTCACTGTGTGATACATCTAATAAACAAACTAATATGGAATCTGTTGGAACCTCTAACTCAGATCACAAGGAATGAGAAAAAAATGAGTTAGTGGATAGCTTGTTTACATCTTCGTGGATATACCAGTGTAACAGTAGAACACAAGGGCCAGACAACAGATCAGTTTATTAAGGAAATCGACACGTATTTATATATTTTCATGTACATTATTATAGCTTATTCAAGCAAACAAACACGCTCTTCTGATTGGTTGTTTTTCACAGATAGTTGACCTTGCATCTCTTTGTGACTGTTTCTTGAATGTCAGATCATCTGTATGTTAACTGTATCTGCCTACGCATAGTCTGCTGTGATTGGTTGTTGAATCAGTCTTCTTCATATTTTCGCACGGCCAATATTTGGGACATACACATTGACGTAAAATACTGTCTACCACTTTTGGCTAGCAGCCGCCTCTCACCACATCAGTTCTTTCAAGTTTTGCAGATATACGCCTTGATGATGGTTGCCAAGACGCATGAAACACACATACAAGCCATCCTACTGATTTTCTTTCCAACTACCTAACAAACAACATGAACTAATTGGTATAAAACTGAATGGTCAGGGTAGTGTTGACAGGGAAAGAAAACGTGCTAATTAATCATTGGTTCTTTCTAACTTTCAGTTTTGTAGTGAGTGATTTTCATTTTATTACAATTGAGGATTGTATATATATTCAAACAGACTTCATATTTAATACATTTGGTTCCCTTGATAAATTTCGATAAAGAAAGGAGGACGAAATATGCAGTATAAAATGATATCATCATTTCATTTCATAGGTTCTCATCAGCTGCAGACTACCTGAAATTATAATGGTTATATGCATTGATAATAATGTTTGAGTGGTAGTAGAGAAGAGATACTATAAAATTGACGAATCCAAAATGAAAGCATTACAATGTTTTTAGTTTAAGTTTTCATCATCAATTTATACGCTTTCAAAGCTGAAAAGAGGGGGGGGGGAGAGGTAAGACAAAAAATAAAAAGTAATTAACAGAACAGAACAGACTGGTAAAGAGGAAAGGTTGAGCAAGAGGCTAGCAACCCCATCCCCTATATAAGTTAACACCACTGCTACCGAAACTTCAAAGCTCTAGGTTGTAGGCGCCCTACGTTTCGCCACTAAGAAGGTAAAGGAAAAAATAAATAAAAATTGTTAATAACTCTTAAGAAATTCATTAATTTCCGTATAGTTTCTGTTACCGTTTGACACCAGCCGCCGAAGGAACAATTTACAACTAAAAAGTACTCACTAGCGATTTCATACAAGTTTAAGCCTCTTCGATTGTGTGTGTGTGTGTGTGTGTGTGTGTAGCCAAAAGTGCTCGCAGGAATAAATCTCGAATTGTCGTCGGGTTACTCGTCAATTGTGTTACTTCTCAGTCTTTGCGTAAAGAACCACAATCCTGCCAGATTCTTAGTAGGATAGTGTCCACTTGTGTCAGGATCCAGCTGTCTTGCTTATTTCCTCTTGTTTCCCTTTAGTGATACTCAACTTTATTATGAGAATTATATTAACTTAATGAGTTTATTGTTCTTTTCTATAATATTGATTACGTTGCCTGCCTTCAAGGTCATTCTAGATTCTAGTCGGTTATGCTTGTCATACGTCGAAAACCTACTAAAATGACACATACAATCATTTCCACTAGTTTCGACAAGTTAGTTACAGGATTTCATCATCAGCTGACATCGGTTAGAGAACCATTGGAGAACCTGTCTGGTGGGAGTATTGAGCAGCTGTTTCTTCCTAGTTTTGGACTCTTCATCAGTTAACATCTACCGGAGGTCGAACCCAGGATCTTCTGGTTACAAGGCAAGCTAGCTGTTAGACCATTAAGCAGCCACTGGGACCCGATCCAATGGCCAGCCCATGAATTGTAACGACATAGCGCGACTGGCACTAGCCAATGTGTGCCCTCACACTCGACCTTTGACATATCGTTTTTACTATCAAGGAGGGGGGGATAGTTTATCAATAACGCTCTGTGTTCTCCTTAACTATCAGTTGTTATATAAATTATCAGATATACTTGTCTCACCGATAGCTTGTATTCAACGATTTTGTGATTTAACTACTGGACAAGTTGCTGATCTTTATATAACTGTACGACAAATTGCTAAACGTCTAGCTGAGCATTATTCAGCAACTAGTTTAACAATATCGATTCAGGATGGAAAAGATGCGGGTCAAAGTGTACCGGTAAGTTGATTTTTTCAGGTAACTTATTGAGTGAGTCAGTCAGTTAGTCAGTCAGTATATTATTAGTATTATTCCCTTGAGTTCCGAGTGAAACATAGGGCTGCCGTCCTCTCCAGCTGGGTCCACGACTGCCCATAATCTCTGATCTCTTTCACACACACTATCTCCATGTCACCCTAGGATGACGCACTCATCGCTTCCCACTTGGATTCCACTCGAGCAATGGCCTGGTGCGCAATGTCATTCGACGGTCTCCTCAATGTATGCCCGTTCCATCTCCATTTTGCTCCTACATATTTGTTGAGCGATCGGCTGTTGGTTGATTTGTTCCCACAGTTTCTTGTTACTTATTCTTTTTGGATAATTCACATCTCTGTTCCATCTGCTTTCGCAGATACTCAGCACTTCTATGCCATATCTTTGGCATTTCTTTGGCTACTTTGCCAGCCTTCCCAGCCAGTCTCGTACATTGTACGGACATTCCACGCACTCCAACCCTTCTCTTGCCTCTCATCGAGAGAAGACACATCGGCTGACTGGCTGGCTTCTTGAAGACTGGCTTTCACCAGCCCACCGCGTCATTTCGCTTCTCCGGTTCCAGCGATCAATAAGATCGTTCTTCAAATTTTGTGTATTTTTAATATATTTTTTGTGTGTTGAAATTTCTCTAGGGGTTTGATAGGTGGTTTAATGGTGTACGGTTGCTAACCTTATCTATGCTCAACCCTCCCTCTTTACTCGAGCTTGGTACCAGCTAGAAAACTAGCAAGCTAGCTAGTTAACTAGGCTAAGTTCAGTCAGTCAGTGAATGAGGGTAAATATTAGTGGCAAAGTTAAACTTTAAGCACCACTAACTGCCACCAATCAGCAAATGGCCTCGAAAGCATCAGTCATGTGAGGGAAGCATATATTTTGTGAAAAATTGCATAAAAACTGTATAAGTCCTTGGATAGCTTCCTCTCACATGGGATAAAAATAGTTCTCAGTTTTAGGTTGGTGTATCAACAGATGAAATTTGACAACAATCCTCCAACGAGAGCTGAAGTCCTGAATGCAATCAAGCTTCTGAAAGCTGGAAAAGCAGCTGGACCAGATAGAATACCCCCTGAAGCACTAAAAGCTGACCCAGAGACGACAACAAAGCATGCTTACTCCATTATTCCAAAAGGTCTGGAAGGAGGGAAAGGTGCCTACTGACTGGAGGGAAGGTTACCTCGTGAAACTACCAAAGAAGGGCGACTTAGGACTCTGCAAGAACTGGCGAGGAATCATGCTCCTGTCGACGCCAAGTAAAATTCTGAGTCGCATCATCCTGGAGAAAATAAAGGACGCACTGGAGACAGAACTCCGCCCCACCGGAACAAGCTGGATTCAGGAAAGGCAAATCATGTTCTAACCAAACTGCAACTCTACGCATCATCATCACAGAACAAAGCATGGAATGGCAATCAAACCTCTACCTCAACTTTATAGACTTGGAGAAGGCCTTTGACTGCGTTAACTGTGAAGTAATTTGGAAACTACTCGAGTACTACGGCGTACCCCAAATATTCATCAACCTTATTCAACAGATGTACGACAACGGCACATATCAAGTGATCCACAACGGAAAACTCACTCAGCGAGGCGTTTGGAGTAAACACAGGAGTCAGACAAGGGTGCTGGCCTATTATCACCAATGAATGATATTCCTAATTGTGGTGGACTGACTGGATTATGCGTCAGACAGTGAGTGGGAAACGAGAAGACAGGGATATCCTGGATCGACCTGAAGGAAGAATCTAGAAGACCTGTATTTCGCGCGTGGATGATTTATGTTTGATGTCACTGACACACAATCGAAGACTTACAAGCGAAACCTGACAAACTAGTCGAAGAAGCAGCCGGCGAAGACAGGACTCCAAGTGAACATAGACAAGACGGAGGTTATGAAAATAACCAACCAACCACCAACAACAACAGCAGCAACATCCATCGCCAATCGCCATCAACGGGAGGCATTTGAAAGAGGTTACTTCATTCACTTATCTATTTTTTTTTTTATTACACCTTGATTCCACGCTGTATTTTTGGTACAAGTATGGAATTTTCAGCATGGATATCGGTAGCCCAAATTTTGCAGGCCGACCATAGATATCAGGTGTGCGTCGTCAGGGGATCGAACCTCAGACCATGTGCATGGTCGGCGAGAGTCCTAACCACTGTGCCACCGACGCACATTGTCTCGACTACACGCAGTCAACACGGACGAGGATGTCAAATCGAGCGAGAATCGGGAAGGCGAGAAACACACTCACTCATCAACCTGAAACCAATCTGGAAATCTTCGTCACTCAACTCAGCATCAACAACAAAATTCGGTAGGATTTTCAATACAAACAACGTCAAGTCAGTCAGCCAGTTCTTCTATACGGATGAGAAAGTTGTCAGGCGGGTGGGTCACAAAGAATATTTCCAACAGCCTGTTGCAGACGTTACCTTTATCAACCAACAACTGTCTTCGCTGGCTCTGTACTGAAGATCAGATGGTCGGGCCGGAAAGAATCGCCAAGAAGAAACTTTGGGAACAAACAAAACAAGAAGCAATCACCCAAATATAAAAGTATGCAGGAGGTAGTGGAGATGGATCGGACACTCGCTGAGGAGACCGCTGGGTGACATCGCGCGCGCTTCAGGCCATTGCTCGAGTGGAACTAGGCCGAAAGGGAAGCAGCGAGTGGGACGTCAGTCGGAGGGTAACATGGAGGAGATCGTGTGAAGAGGAGTTGAAGAGGAGTATGGACTAAGATGGATGCAGTTGAAAAGTACAGCAGAAGGAAGACAGAAGTGGCCAGTGGAGACGTGAAGTTGAAGCCCTATGTTCCACTAGGAATCCAAGGGAACAATAATATAATAATACAAAATAAATTGTCTGCATGAACTGTAACAGACATTACATCGGTCAAAGTGGGCGTCCTCTTCAAATTCGAAGCCAAGAACACAAATAAGCTGTGAAAAGGCGCGATATGTATTCTTGTTTCATACTGATGCATGTAGAGAATCACGGACACCAATTTGATGATTAGGATAATGTAGAAGAGTTTTAGATAGCGGAAACACCAGACTGTAGTGCTAAGTGAATCAGCAAATAATAAACACATTACCTCTATAGACCAAATTTACCAACAAATGGAAAATGAATCACATGATAAGAAAGAAAGTTCAAGTTCCAAGTCAGTAAAAATAACCAATTCAGATTTCATCACGAACCCTCACCCCGTCCTTACGTTTCTTAACTTATGTAATCTGTTGGTTTGAGCCCTATTGGAAGACCTACGAATATTGGACAGCCAGCTGTTCCGTCAGCCTAGTTTGGGACTCTTCAGTAGTAGTACTCACCCACCCCACTGCCAGCATTCGAACCCAGGACATATTGGTCACAAGGCGATATCATCGACGATTAAGCCACTGGGATCAAACATGTGGCCAATGAAATTTCTGCAAAAACAACACTGGATAATTAATGTGATCCTACCAATCACCACGACAGTGGTTGTCAGGGACTGGGGGGATACAATTATACTAGCGTTGATGGGGAATTATTTCATGCTAAAACCTGCACTGAAGCGATGTTGTCTAGATGCCGGGGGGAGGCGATAACGAAAGCTTCGCCATTGAATCAACCAGCTAGGATTGAGAACACAACTAAATCGAAAACTTGCTCAAATTGTTGGAACGAAAATTTAGAGGAAAAAAGAATTATTTATTACCTTTTAATTTTAATACTAAGTGGCATGGTCATTTTTTTGAAGGATGTTTTCATTCTTTTTCTTTTCCATTTCTTCAGCATGTTCATGTTCATGTGTTGCCTAGGAAACCAAATGATTTTCCGGAAAATGATGATATTTATAAAGCAGTAAGTTTTCTTTTCTTTCAGTTTTTTTTTTTAGTTTAATTTATCATTCCTACAGCCAGTTCCCCTCATTCACAGCTTATCATTCTTTCGAATATTGGTTTGTAGGGCTTTTGTTTGATTTTTCGTAGGATTTCATCATGAGTTGACATCGGTTAGAAAACAGTTGTTTTGTCAACCTAGTTTGGTACTCTTCAGCAGTATGCACCCACCGGGGGACGCACCTAGGACATTCTGATTACAAGGCGAGCTAGCTTTTTGACCATTAAGCTACTAGGACCTTGGTCCAATGGCCAGCCAATGAATTTCGACTTCTGCCGATTCTCGACAAAAGAAGACTGCGGTGGTTCTCTAACCGATATCAACTCATGATGAAGCGCTGTAACCAATCAAATCCCTTCAAACCAATACTTGTAAAATTCATTTGATGCTCGTTAGCGACTGGTCCGATTCGGGTTCTACTAAAAAGTCGTCACCATTGAGGTACAGCAAGTTGGGTGTGTGGGCGAATATTGTGAATTTCTTCCAAAAGAAATTCGGGGCGATAATCCAATGACTATTGAAGACTTTGTGTACTTTTGGATGTGTGTGGGCGGTTGTTACTTCCCCGCTACCCACACCGTAGAAGTTGATTGATTCTTCGGGTACCTGAAACAGAAAGATTGTTGCGCGACCGCAGAGCCCATGGGACAACTTCTTGAGGCCGGTCACACACGGCCTGTGTGAACTGGTTTCTGGGATTGGTTTCGTATTAGTAAACTTACCGCCGGCTACGGACGACCGTAGGGTAAGTTGGGATGTACAGTTTTTTGGGTCGATCTTTTCTAACCCCCTCTCTGCAGAGTGGAGAGATAGCATAGTTGGTTGGCATGCTGGTCATCTGACGGAAACACCTCACTGCTGTTACACCCCTGTTCCCCATCAGTACGACTTCGCCCTCAGACCCCCAGCATAGTGTAAGAAATATTCTTACAGAATGCCGGTAACTGCTTTTAGTCTAATTGCTGTCTTAACAACCTTCCTGACATGTTAGAACCTGCAGGAACATTGGTTCCAGCCATTGCAGCATGCTGGATAATCGCAATATGCAAGCCCGACCACCACGTCAAAGTAGCAGCTATCGGTCGGGAATGATTATTGAAACCACACGTTAAGTGACGCACACAGGATTTATTTAAAATACATTACTATATTGAACATAAAATATGAAGTATAATATACAAACCTCAATTTTCAGCTGTTTTCTGTCAGAATGTCGTCAAAAATATCAGTCAATGTGGGTCAATAAGTGAAAACAGCAGAGCTGTATCACAAAGACGATCTACGCGCTATTTAAGTAGCACGTGAATGCCCGGCACAGAATATAGAGATACGAATAAACAGTGTTCAATAGTAACAGGTCCGTGAATAGAGCATGCACAGCAGATAATGTTCGATTATAAGAAAAAAATGCTACACACTTCACGCAAATAAAGATGTGATTAAGAATTAACAAATACAACTCGTACTACTTACTGGGAGTCAGTAGTATAAAATTTAACAGAAAAGAAAGAATAATAAGCCGTAGATACCAGAGGAATTACAAATCCTCGCCAACGATGACATTGGTTAGTGCCATTTGCGCTATGTCGTAACTTGGTAGAAGTTGAAATTTATAGGCTCGCCATTGAATTAGCGGATCCCAGTGGCTTAATGGTCTACGAGCTAGCTTGACTTGTAACCAGAAGGTCGTGTGTTGGAATCCTGGGTGGGGTGAGTGGGTGCGTACTCCTGCCTGTGTAACATTTTAACGTCCCTTTAAATCATTATTGTCATGATTATATAAACACCTTCATTATGTGATTAAAGCCTCTAAGGTCATTTGTCCCTTGGTACCTGCTGATGTTTAATGTTTAACTTCATCAATTATCTCGCTTGGATTTATATGTATGTATATATGATAATATATCGCGATCTGCCATCTTGTGTAAATTTTGTCAGTGACCAGTAGGGTGCAGCAGGTTGGGTGTGAGGTCAAATACTCGCTGAAGATATTGGCTAGGGGTTGCTCTGTGTCATGAATTGGCAGAAGTTAGAATTCATGAGTCATTGAACCGGGTCCCAGTGGCTGGCTACGTAGTGGTCTACGAGCTCACTTTGTAATCGGAAGGTCCTGGGTTCGACCTCCGGTGGATGCGTACTGATGACGAGTCCCAAACTAGGCTGACGAAACAGCTGTCCAGTACTCCCAGACAGGTTTTCCAACGGTTCTCTAACCAATGTTAGCTGATGATGAAATCCTGTTACCAAACAATCAAATCCCTACGAACCAACACTTGAAAGCATAGTTTTATTTGACGCGTTTTTGATTGGCTAGTTCAAGGTCATTTTTACTAGGTCGTATATATTTACTATTATTAATTATGCATCATTTTAATCATCTCCTTAATTCAATCCCCGCATTTTTTTCTAGTTACAAAAACATGATAAAGTGAAGAATCGTGTCTATCGTTCACATGAAGTAATGAGTCAAGAGGCTAAAGAATTACGTCAACTCTATTATCCTTATGAAAGAGCAGAATAAATTATCATTTTACATTAGAAGAATAATAATATTGCTACGTACTATACTACTTATGTATTGTTATGTACTACTTATATACTAACTGCCTACCTACCTACCTACCTATCTAAGTCAGTCATTCAGTATTTTTATTGTTCTTTTTTTGTTTTTATTCTCTTTTAGTTTATTGATTGGTTAGTTGCGTAATTATCTTCTGTTTTTCTGTTGTCGTTATTGTTGTTATTGCTTGACTCCTGTGGTTACTGTTTTTATTTTGTATTCTTCTGAATTTAGTTCACTGTATCATTTTTATGAATTGGAAATGCCTTGTACTTCCCTCATCTACCCGCCCTTCCCCCATTATTCCTGCTTCTTCTTCTCTCCTCTTTCTACCATTTGTTTTCTCAACAGATTCCAGTTTCTGGAAGTTACATTAGATTACTTCTTATTCATACTGAAGTGTAGTAGCAGTTCATTGAAACAAGTGAAAATATTAAATACCGGTCATCTTTACCCTCGATTAATTTTGTTATAATTATTTTTATTGCTTTGGGTTCTGAGTGGAACACGGAGGAATTTCAACAACACATTTACACTTTGATGATATTTTAAATGGTTGGAGGCAATCGGCTGTGGGGAGCTTTCGACACCAATTAGGTTTCGTAGTAGTTGGCATTCAACAGTCAGCAAGGCGTATCTAAAAGGACTAGACACATCACACTAGTTATTAACTAGTGTCCAATCAAAGTATCCACTACTGCCCTACAGGAGGTGAGGTTAGTCGCGAGCCCGAATAGCTCAGTGATAACGTCTCTGACTGCAGGCGGCACTGGGTGATGACGCGGGTTCGGATCTTAGAAGGGACCTAAATTCCTTCACGGTGACAGATACCACCCTGCTGACGAGTGCCAAGTAGCACGAAACCTAGGTCCAAGGCTTCCCTCCGAATGCCTCCTATCATCTCTTATCATCAAATCAATGTGCACTATGATGGCGGGCTACCTAGTGACATGGTGGCCACATTGCGAACCTGACTGATAGAATTCAGTCTGCACCAAAGAAAGGACTAGACACGTCACACGAGTTACTAGTGTCCAATCAAAACATTTACACTTTCCTCTTCAGCTGCCTGAGGCTGTGATTGCCCATAGTCCCTCATCTCCTCCTTCTCCTCCTCAACACACGATCTTTTTCATGTCAGCCTTCCATTGACTATCCACTACTCTTCACTTCTCAGTAACATTCTACTCTAAGCACTGCTTGGCAGGCGATGTCATTCGACGGTCTCCTCGGTGGCGTGTGTGCACGATCAGTTCGTCTCCATTTTCACCTAAATATTTATTTGTTGAGCGTTAACAAGAAACTTCAACGCACCTTGACTAATTAATTTCTTGACATTCTACTCTGTTTTGATGAATTGAGTTAATTGGGTGAAGTTCAAGAATAGCGTCCCAGGGGTGGGAACGCTCTAATGACCTTGAACGCATACTAGTCGTTGGCTAACGGCACCTGTCACTATCATAGCTAAAATATCAACGCTATTCACCAACTTAGGAGAGAATTTCACTCAGATCACGTTTTTAAGTACTGTTTGGACAATGTGTTGATAACTCGTTAGGGTTACGATTGGGGCTGAGGTAAGTATTGGGGTTAGGGTTGGGATCAGGGTTATAATTAGCATTAGGGTTAGAATTGCGGTTTGGATAAGAGTTAGCATTAAGGTTAGGTTTAGTGTTAGCGTCAGGATTAAGCATATGGTTACGATTAGGGATAAATTTATAGTTGATGTCATTTATTTTAATTGGTTTTATTATCCACATTTTCCTGGTAAATAGTCGTCTATCCTCTTGCTGGAAACCATAATAATTCAACCGTGGGCTTTTTTGGAAAAATGCAAGCAGGATGAGAGAGATAAACGATTCACTAAAACAGTTTATCTGTAGTCATCTCGGTGAATACTCATGCACGGAAACTAGTCTAACTTCGCAACTGATACTCCTCGTTATAACTAGGATGTATTTTTAAGTTGTTTGTCAGAGAAAGATACCCTGAGTTAATGTGTTTTCAAGCATTTTCTCGTCAATTTCCATCATCTTTTGAGCAAATATTCATCATTTTTATGATTGGTCAACTGAAGGTCACTCAATCAGATGAGTGGAAATTTGAATTCGGGAAATGATTAGTTTAGGAGTTGGATGATTAAGTCATGATAATCAACCTGTCTGTCGTATATTTATCCAGTGTTCAGTGTTCATAACGAAGGATAATTAGTGCATGGTGACTAGCAGTGGAATCCACCAGGATAACGTGCATTTCATCCTGTTTGGGAATAGTTCGTCATCTAGATGTACCTGGAATCCGAGATGAGTATTGATGTTCTCACCGAGGCCCAAATCCAGTCCCATAGCTTCATACGCCAAAGCGGTTATGCAGTATACCGCTTTGGCCGCGAGAGCCACCTTTTGTGATTTTCGAGGGATCATATTAATTATCTAATTCAATTATAGATTTTCCCGTCCATTGACTGATTGAACCATAGTGCTCAGTTTGACATGTCGGCTTGTTGTGCAGATGCTTCGATGATGTCTGGTCATGTAACTAATGTTCATAACATATTCAAATAAAATCGGATCTTACAGTATGTAGAAATGATTTTAATATCATATTCGTTTATCTATTGAAAGTTGAATTGTTTAAAGAGATTTTAATGAATGTGTACAAGTAAGGACAATTTTGATGCCACTTTATAGTGTTGCCCGATATATATATACATATATATATATATATATATATATATATATATATATATATATATATATAGCAACATTCCAAACTACAAGAAAAACTAATAGTCAGTCACACGGTGTTTCCAACCGGAATTCCTATATTGCAAAAAAATCATTCATTCTACCATTGCTTCGAGAAGAAATGCGGAGCAAGTATCGGTATATATCGGAAACGGTGAGCGAAATCCTCATCTTAATAACGACACACAAATTGATTTCTCAATGTCTGTCCATTAGTGGTCGTGTGTCACTCCACAAACCAAAACGTGGAGAATTCCAGGTGATGGTGTGAGGTGTCTACTGATGAAGGATATTTGTGAGTAGTATATACGGTGTGTTTGTGTTTGTGATGATTGTTGTTTGTCCTGTGTACATGGTGGTGTGTTTGTTGACGGTTAGAGTGTGATTGGGTGTGTGATGAGCTGGTGCAGTGTTTGTAGTCGTCGAGTGTTGTGTTAGTGTGTGTTTTGTGGATGTTGTGTGTGTTGATGTTGTTAACTTGCAAATGGATGAATGAAAGTAAGGTGTGTTGTGTTTTGACGGGGTGGGTAGTGTTGACGAGACAGGCCAACCGTCACGGTTTTACTCTTGTGATTTATTGCATGGTAAGAACCGTCGACCAAGAATCGAATCATTATTTGGCAGCCCCTCACGGGGCTAATAATAATCCAATAAAGTCTACACCAGTCTCTCCTACTAGGGGTGGCGTGGGGGTCAGTGTAATTCGCCTCGATACCTGACTCTATCCTCACTAATTCCCTACACCGCTTCACAGTCACACACTCACTCACTCACTCACTCAACCAGTCAGTAAATCACTCATTCTCCCTCACTCACTCACTCACTCAGACACACACACACAGTCAGTCAGTCATTCAATCACCGATTCACTCACCGAGGCGATGACTTACACACTGAAAGACGAATCGCCTTTCTCACTGACACTGAGCCAGTCGTCTACTCACTCACTAACCAACTGACTCTCCCATTCTACGCGTCTACTAGGCCTCGACTAATCTCTGATTGCCTTGTCACTGTGTATCTCCAGTGTCTTCAGTGCGTCTCATCACTGCCCATCTCTGTGTACGTCTGTCTACTGGTGGCTCGTGTGTCTCTCGTTAATCCTACACGTGGAGAGTTCCACCAGTGTCTATCCAGTCAGCTGATGAGTCGATCAGACTGACTTTGTCTTCTAGGCTAAGCTGGTTGTATTATCTTCTCCGCCTGTCCACAAATACTCAGTTAGCTGGCGATTCCATCGGAATGGCTGACATCTCCTCCGGTAGGAATGATTCATCCGTGTAGTCCTTCCCCTGATATTTTGCATGTCATGTGTATTCAACAGTCTGTCTGACCGAATCCATGTGTGTGGCTTGACGATCCAGGTGTCTTGTGCATTCTGGTGATGGTGATGATGAGCAGTGTGTGAATGTATTTCGGAGGCGAGTGTGAGTCTGATTGTTGTGTAATGAATGCATGAGGCGAATTTATTCTAGTCTTGGTGTGAGGCGTCTACTGATGAAGGATATTTGTGAGTAGTATATACGGTGTGTTTGTGTTTGTGATGATTGTTGTTTGTCCTGTGTACATGGTGGTGTGTTTGTTGACGGTTAGAGTGTGATTGGGTGTGTGATGAGCTGGTGCAGTGTTTGTAGTCGTCGAGTGTTGTGTTAGTGTGTGTTTTGTGGATGTTGTGTGTGTTGATGTTGTTAACTTGCAAATGGATGAATGAAAGTAAGGTGTGTTGTGTTTTGACGGGGTGGGTAGTGTTGACGAGACAGGCCAACCGTCACGGTTTTACTCTTGTGATTTATTGCATGGTAAGAACCGTCGACCAAGAATCGAATCATTATTTGGCAGCCCCTCACGGGGCTAATAATAATCCAATAAAGTCTACACCAGTCTCTCCTACTAGGGGTGGCGTGGGGGTCAGTGTAATTCGCCTCGATACCTGACTCTATCCTCACTAATTCCCTACACCGCTTCACAGTCACACACTCACTCACTCACTCACTCAACCAGTCAGTAAATCACTCATTCTCCCTCACTCACTCACTCACTCAGACACACACACACAGTCAGTCAGTCATTCAATCACCGATTCACTCACCGAGGCGATGACTTACACACTGAAAGACGAATCGCCTTTCTCACTGACACTGAGCCAGTCGTCTACTCACTCACTAACCAACTGACTCTCCCATTCTACGCGTCTACTAGGCCTCGACTAATCTCTGATTGCCTTGTCACTGTGTATCTCCAGTGTCTTCAGTGCGTCTCATCACTGCCCATCTCTGTGTACGTCTGTCTACTGGTGGCTCGTGTGTCTCTCGTTAATCCTACACGTGGAGAGTTCCACCAGTGTCTATCCAGTCAGCTGATGAGTCGATCAGACTGACTTTGTCTTCTAGGCTAAGCTGGTTGTATTATCTTCTCCGCCTGTCCACAAATACTCAGTTAGCTGGCGATTCCATCGGAATGGCTGACATCTCCTCCGGTAGGAATGATTCATCCGTGTAGTCCTTCCCCTGATATTTTGCATGTCATGTGTATTCAACAGTCTGTCTGACCGAATCCATGTGTGTGGCTTGACGATCCAGGTGTCTTGTGCATTCTGGTGATGGTGATGATGAGCAGTGTGTGAATGTATTTCGGAGGCGAGTGTGAGTCTGATTGTTGTGTAATGAATGCATGAGGCGAATTTATTCTAGTCTTGGTGTGAGGCGTCTACTGATGAAGGATATTTGTGAGTAGTATATACGGTGTGTTTGTGTTTGTGATGATTGTTGTTTGTCCTGTG